GGGGGGGGGTATCCTGGCGCATACGTGGCTAACCGCTGCGTTTACTGTAAGTTCTGTATGGTCGGAAATTTGTCGATTAGCCACGTTTAGCTGTAAATTAGCATTCAGTTTTAAGATTCGCTGTTTGTTAGCCAAGTAAAGATGGTTTAAATTGTTTTAAAACATGTCTAATTTATGTTATGTTAGAAATATGTAACTAAGAGTTAATGTGTATTTTTAGATTCACAGTTTGTCAGGAAGTCAATAGAACATTTGTCAAAATTTCCTGCCAGCACTTGAATGCAACATTTTCCTGAGAACGGGAGTAGGGAAATAGCGGAAAACGTACCAGATTGATCTCGTTTGTTTCTAGAAATCATTATGAGCTCGTTTCCGATGCGGTTTTTTTCTGTCAGTTTGCTAATTGACAAATAGAACTACGTTTGTTTTAAGCTAGGTCCAAGAAAACCAAGTAACCATCGGCTTTACTGTATAAAAAAAAATGCCGTCTGAAATAAAACAGCGAAAGAAGACTCAAACATCAAAACAAAACTCCGACGAACTTTTGGAAACGTCCTCTGAGAAGGGTAAAGATGAGAAAGTGAGGACGGAGGACAACTATAGAGTAAATAAAAACTCTTCGGGCTTCGATGTGAAAAGTTTAATGTGCTTATTGTCGATTGTAGTTTGCGGAGTCCTGAGCTGGTGAGTGGATCACAATATTAAGTTAACTTTCTTTTCACGGTTTGTTTTTAATATAGTTCTCCTGGGTTTCAGGGTGGTGATGCAGCAGAATGAGAGGTTCTCTCAAATAGAGGAAAAATACAAAACTCTGCACGGAAAGACTTCCAGCCTGTTGGACTCTGAGGAAGCGATAGCTAAAATATATAAAAAGGTAGGTTTAAATAGTTGATGTAAGGTTTTCTTGTTCTTGGAAGATCTCGCGAGATCTCACGTGATTTGTTACCTTTTGAAGATGCTCACCCACTACCAAACCAAAATTTGAGCTTATTTTCTGTAAAACTGACAAGAGTTGAAGTAATTTTTGTGTTTTCTAACGTCATTTAGCTGTGGCGGCCATATTGAACCAGGTTGAATACAAAATTACATTTTTTTTTCAATTTTATTGTATTTTTACAGTTAAACCTGGGCAAAAACACTATAATGATAATTGTTCTGTAAGGCTAAAAATAATTACCTAAAGTCAACTTGCACTGCAAAAATAATGAGTACATTTGGGTTCTATAAAATGTTTATAATAAGATACTTCAAAAGCTGCAGGTGAAAAACTGTGCAGCTTAATTGTTTTAGTTTTTCTCGAGTAATTTAGCATAGAGGAAACTTTTGCTGCTCTTAAATAAAGCAAGGAGCAAACTTTTCTAACACCTTTTAAAAATACAAAACTTTGAAAACACAGATGATTATATGGAAATGTTGCTGTATTCATGAAAGTGGTAGGAATTCAATACTTTTATAATATAAAACCTTTGAAATGGTTAAATTTAGTAGAAAARAGCACTTGTTCACCCGCTTTGGATGTTATCATCCATTAAATGGACGTTATTAGCCGTTATCAGTGCCATAGAATGGCTTCAGACTGTCAGCTGGTTAGTATGAGGCATAAAGCCACTAAGGTTAATTTTAGAGAAAATGACATGGKCTACRATAAAGTAGACTGGACTCCGGCAGAAGCAGATTGTTGCATTCCAACTTATATGGCACTGGTAACCCACTAGGGGGCACTGTGGGGACAGTCTGAAGCCATTCTATGGGACTGAAAACCGCTAATAACGTCCATTTAATGGACTGATMACATCCGAACCGGCTGACTTGTTTGTGTTTAAGATGAGTACAGGATCAGAGCTCCACAGAAACCGCACCTCCTGTTTTGTGTTGCGGCTGCAGCTTGCCGCGTCCGAAGAAGACCTCCAGGAGGCGCTCTCCACCGTCTCTTTGGCAACAAGGCTCCAGCAGGACGTCTCCACCCTCCACGCTGCCATTGCGGCGATGCAGAGCGACGAGAACTCCGCCTCCCGCGACCTGCAGTCAGTCAACGCTCACTTCCTGGACGTGACGGAGACGTGGCAGGGGAGGCTGGCCGCCGTCGCCTCGGACCTCACCGCCATCAAGGCCAAGGCGAGGGAGGCTCACGCCGGGGCCACGGAGCGCGTGAACGAGGCCGAGCGGAGGACCCGGACGCTGGCGGAGAGGCTGGAGGAGCTAGAGGACAGCACGAGGAGGAACGCCCGAGCCCTGGAGCGCACCGAGGGGGACGACGTCCGGCGAGCGCAGGACCAGCTGGACTGGAACACCGGGCAGATCCACAAACTGGAGGAGCAGATCAGCATCCTGAGCAAGAAGGAGGCCGAGCTGAGCTCCCAGCTCCAGGAGCACGTTCCCCGGGCGGAGGCCTGTGAGGAGCACCTGCCGCAGGTGGAGGAGGCGGTACGCTCCATCCTGAAACTGAGCGGCGATCTGAGCGGGGCGGAGAGGCGGCTGGAGGAGGTGACGCTCCAGGTGTTCGGGACGGAGGACAGCATGCTGAAAGCACTGAGCGAGATCCTGGAGATCCGGCAGGAGCTGGACATGCTGCAGGCTCAAAACAGCATCATGAAGATGAAGAACGAACTGTCTGTGGTGAAGGAGGCGGTCCGCGAACTCACCATGGTGCTGAGAGACGGTCYGGTTGATACCCAAATGGACTCTGAGACTTTGGATGAAGAGGAGCAGAATGAACCAACAGAATATCCTCAGGATGATTTTACTGAATGATCAGTTTCCAGTCTTTGTTGTACAAGGTCATGTTTGGTCCAATATTAGCTGTTTTTTAAACATTTTTTACACGGCAAGCATTTCATCGTCAAGTTATTAAATAAAACACTTTTTCTGTTTTTTGTTCTCGTCTAAGCCTCTTTTCTTAAAGGGATCCATGATTAGTTGTAACATTAGACTTTATTTAATAAACATATATTTTAATTGTAAAATAAAGACTAAAAATACTGTAGGCTTTTTAGTTTTTTAACTTTCAAACTAAGATTTAAAAAATATATTACATGGACGGGGCCATTTAAATTTACACGCAAAGCATTCTGGGTAAATGATGACGTGGATAGGTTCTCGGTGCGAGGCTGCTAGTGAGCTATATCCACCCTGAAGGATAATCTTGGACAATATCTGACGATTGGCTTTTTAAAATGAAACCAGAGAGC